TATATATATATACCTACAGGGTCCTCCACTTAAAACTCTCCAAGTCTGCATCTTGTACTATAATAGGTACGCTGTATACGAGTACAAGAGCCTTATTCTTATTACCTTTAAATTTTTACGTTTGATAGAACATATTATTTTCTGTAGTCATGTTTACCCCTTGCTGTAGTATCGTATTTTTATCTCCTCGTTAAATTTTAGCTAAAAATAGATGTTATAAATGCATTTAAAATCAGTCTAGATTTTTTTAATATTTTTTCTAGGCAAAAATTTTTTAAACCAACATACTGCATACTGTTTAAACAGTATTAGAATTAATTTTTATTAGTAGACGATTGAGGAAACAAGCACCACACAAATAAATTAAAAATGCGACAAGTCTTTCTAATTCTAATGTTTATTAATTACTGAACTATTATACAAAACATAGAAACGTCATGAGAGGTTCAAGTCTTAGATGCATCATTATATTCCCTCAAAGGATCAAAGGAACGTTGTAGCGCTGAATCCTTGGACTGCCCTGGCCGTAACCTGAAATATTTGTCATTTTAATACTTATAACATTTAAAGATTTTCGATATTTTTAAAAATGTCAGATTCAAAAACATTTTTATATAAATTTGTTATTAGTTATTACCTCCAGATAACCCTTCTTGAGAATAGACACTAGGTTGCTGTTGCCAAAGACCTTGCTGGCCCCTAGTTTGGATATTAGTTCTGCCACCACTCAAGAGATAATCCCTCAAGTTGGTTTGTTGCTGTTGCTGTTTCTGCATCTCCCACAATTCTTCCTGTTGCTGCAGCTGCTGTTGCTGCACCTGCTGCAACAGCTGCTGTTGACGCTGTTGCTCCTGCTGCTGTTGCTGCTGCATCAACTGCTGCGTGAGAAGCTGCTGTTGTTCGCGTTCTTGTTGTAACTGCTGCATTTGGATTTGGCGTTGTTGATCCAGGATTTCCCTTTAAAAAAACAGACAAACATTAAAATGTGAAACATATTTTTGTTATTCAGTATTGCCGCCGTACCTTTCTTCCTCAATAACTTCTGATAGTTTACCAGAGATGGACTGGCCGATGGGTCCAACTTGCTGACCATATAGCAGATCCCTGACGGTTGGTTGCCAAAGTGTTCTTCCAACGCTAGGTCCAGTTCCGGAGATGTATCTGATTCCACCAATTCCTTGTTGTCCAATGACATCCAAACCCCTCTGGTAGGAAGCAGCTTGTGGACCCCACAGATGCACTCTTTCAAGGATTTGCTGGTTTGTGCCTACTGGTACATCCAAAACTTGGGATCTCTGGCCAAGAGGACCCTGTGTTACGTAAATTGGTGAACGTACACCTTGTTGGTACTGTTGTTGTTGCTGAAGAAGCTGTTGGTATTGTTGTTCCTGTTGTAACTGTTGCAGTTTCTGTGCGATGGCTTGTTCACGCAGTAAGTCAAGTACGCTGGCTTGTCTCTGAGTTCCAATGATACCCTGCTGCCTGCCCCAATATCCTTCTTGGCCTACTTGTCCTTGAACTTGGCTTAAGTTCTGGAGGATATCATATACAGAGGAACTGAGCTGACCAGCTTGAACTGCAGCGTTAACCTCGTTCAGGAGTTGCTGGTAGGAAATCTGGTCGACATCGCCTTGGTAAGCGGCGAGTATCTTGGTCAGAGTGTCGCCTTGGCTCCTCTGCTTCTTGGAATCCTTTGAACTTCTCTTGTCCCTCAGAGATTCGTCGCTCTCGCTGCCGTATTCGTCCTGACCGGTAATGCTGAGTTTGTTTTGGTCGTTGATTTGGATCCTCTTCGTAGGCATGTTAGGACCGCTGACGGAGATGTCGACATTCTTCTGTCCACTAGTTCCTATGTCCTTGGTGATGGTGATCCTCTTACCGTTGGCTCCGGTTATGACTATGGTGCCATCTTCGTTGATGTTAATGTTTCTTCCGGAGGGGTTGCCAAAAGTATTGTCGTACCCATGGGGGAATGAATAGCAAAGTGCCACGAAGGAAAGTAATAGTATGCACTTCATCTTTAGCACAGCTGACTGAGTGTGCCTCTACAGAGCTGGACGGAGGTTTTATACTCGTGGTTATCGATGTTTTTCTTTAATAATATCTATGTGAATAAACCCTGTAGATCATTCAGTTTATCGGTAAATAATATTTGTGACATTTTATCTTTTCTCTTGCTCCGTACAAATATATGCAATTACCAGAAGGGTTGCATAAGGTCGATTGTAATTAAAAATATGTTTATTAGTGTTACAATGTAGTTTGTTAATTAAAAGTATTATTATTGTCTCCTAGCGATAGAGGGGTCAACAGCTTCTTAATAGGATATTGAAAAATACGTTAGAAACAAACTCCCTCAAATAATGTTATTATATATGTTGGTATTTCAAATAATATTATGTAATTACTAAAATTTAATATCATGCAGCCGACGCACATATATTAATGAATTGTATCAGTTCGAGTAAATCCTGCATTGTAAGGTCTAGTAATTTTTTGTAAAACGAAATACATCTTATATAAAAAAATATGATTTATATTATGTACCTACATAATGTAAAAGGAAGATATATAATTATTATAAAAATTTGTATACATGGTGTTTGTAAATAAGTGCGAAATATTTTATGGGGCTAGTTGACGAAGTTATTTTGTGAAAAAAAGTTCAAATAAACGTACCTAGGTCGAAATATCCTTTTTTCCGAGATATACAGGGTGTTTCTAAAATAGGGTTCCAAACTTCTGCTGCGTTTATAACTCATTAAAATAAGCCAAAAAGTTCCTATTGACATGTGCCCTAAAACGCATCCTTAGGAAGTTATATGCCCTTAAAAGGGCTCAAACAAAACTGTTTTTTTCTGTTATTGACAAAACGGTCGCAAATAAATAGAAAAATATGTATGGGTCTTACATAACTTTTTACGTTAAATAACATGGGCTAGTCCATTTTTCGACATGCAAATCATATGCGTCCCATTTAGGTTGGTGAAGGGGGTTTTCGGCCCGTAATTTTTTTTATTGCAATTTTTTTACAATTTTCTCTACAGATTTATAAAATCTTAACAATTTTACGTAAAAAATATTATCTTTGTCCAAATCGATATTTCCAATGGTTTTCGAGTAAATTGAGTTTGAAAATTACTCTGCTTCTTTAAGTTATTAGGCCAAAAATTACAAAAATCTGTTTACCATGGCAAATAAAAGACTGACGTTGCCACAACGCTTAACAATTTAAGTTATTGATAAACTGTCAATTGAGCTTTGCAGTGTTTAATTTATTTATTAAATGATCGGATCCTTCATAACTGCAATTTATTTGAAAAGAAACAGTTTTGTTCTAGCCCTTTTAAGGGCATATAACTTCCTACGGGTGCGTTTTAGAGCGCATGTTAATAGGAACTTTTTGGCTTATTTTAATGAGTTATAAACGCAGCAGGAGTTTGGAACACTATTTTAGAAACAGCCTGTAGAGTATTTAAATTTTAATTTTTTATTTGTTTTTATATTTCAGAGTTTTAAAGATATTGACTTGAAATTTGAAAAACGCTTTGGAGGGATAAATGTGCATTTTTTGAGGTGATCCGAATATTTCTACTTGCACCAGTCCCGTTCGTGCGAGAATGCCACACCCATTTTTAATTAAAAAAAAAATGGTACGCCACTGACTTTTCCGTTTTGATATTTTTTTAGAAATCCGCCATCAATACTGAATGAAATTGGTCTCTTCAATTTTTTTCATAGATGCACTATTTTTGAGGAAAAAAATAAAAAATGTTTTATCGCAAGTTGTGTATTTCTAATTTCCGTCGATACATCTAGTAGGATGCTGTCTATATTTCTAAATAAAATATAACCATCAATTTTCGGGTCAATATCTTTAAAACTCTTTAAAATAATTAATAAAAATAAATAAATAATTAAAATTTAGACCCTCTGTATCTCGGAAATGAAGCATATTGAGACCTATGTTCATATGAACTTTTTTTCACAAAATAACTTCGGCAACCAAGTGCAATATTTTGCACTTATTTAGAAACTTCCTGTATATGTACTTCAAAAACAGAATTTTTAAATGATTGATACTTTCAGAAAATTTAATGTATCAATGGTGAATTTGCCTGATTTGTATTAATTATAAGTTCTATGCTACAAGCTTAAAAATATTTAATATATCCGTTTTTCTAACAAATCCTTATTTTGCATAACTAAATACGTTTTTGTAAAAATTTTTTCATATTATATTACAGACGATGTTTTGAGTGTAGATAAGTAAATGGACACATAAAAAATAGTAATAATTGAATTTCTAGTTAAAATTAGAGATCTATGTATTTTCAGTTTGGGTGTAATGTAAAAATAATAAGTACTAAAGAGCAAATACAAATTTATTTAAAAATGAGAATTGCCATATAGAATTATAAAGTTTATTCCAAAGTTGTTGCTAAGAGCTCTTAACTTTTATCAACTTTCTGCTTCCTTCGCTATTTTTACCCGTTGATCAAGGAATAATCACTTATTGTATTTTATAACAACATTGTTGATAATATATTTTAATTATTTTAATTAACGCTGCCTCTTGAGCATAAATATTTGTTTTATGGAATTTTTTGAAGCCAAAACAAATTAACACCGAAAATGGAGAATTTATACAGGACCAAGATAAGTAATTACCTACCTATTTATTAATAAAATGCAAATTCTAAAAACGAGGAGACAGTACGAAATTTTTGAAAATTTAATATTACCTAAAATAGGTACCCTAATTATGGGAATTGTATTGAAAAACATTAAACTTTTCCTAACACTTTCTTATCTTATTAAATAACAAAATAGAAAATATTTTCTCTATGACCTACTTTTTATATTCCAACAGCCTGTTGACTTACAATTTACAAATTCAAGATATCGTAAATTACTGTATTTCAAAAAAAAATTACATATTCTAAGAAAAAATCTGTATAAAAATAATGCTGTACAAATTTCTTTCTTCTTAATCTAAAATATAAATTAGCAATAATACAAAAGCATTATTATTCTGATATTACTTGGCTAAATAATTAAAATCGACTATTACAGGAAACAGTTCATATTTTTTTTTAAAACATTAAAATTATTTATTTCTGCAAAGGTGGCCATGGTTTGAATATTGCTTCTGTATATAAAGGTGCCTTTTTAACTGTCTCGATAAATATTTCTGAAAGTTCAGACGGAAGTACATTCAAACCGTAAGTATTATCAAGGTGAGATCCTGTCAAAATTCGAGAAAAACGAGGTACTGCATCAAAATTCAGAGACTTTGCAATCGTAGTATACTGAGAAACAACTGGTTTAGCATTAAGGGCATAACTCAGTAAAGGAACAGATTGCACAGTACTCTCTTTTGGTACAAACTGTTCTATATGGAGTTCTGGAATAGAAAAAGCCACACTGGAACTTAGAACTTGAGATGCATAACCATTAGCAACATCCCTTTCCGTGTAGTGCAGACTTCTCCCTTGAATACCAAACGAATAGGCAACTTCTGACGGCACCAAGGCACCCTTTGATATAACTGGTACACTTTCCAAAATTTTTTGTTGGATCACAGGTGGAGGGTGGTAAATGACCCCGCTCACTAAATGAACATCAGTTATTGCTACCACACAGGAGGCTATTACAGCCAAGAGAACAAAGGGCTGGTACATATTTATTTACCACTATATTAATAACTGTTCGAATATTGTTTTGTTTTCTTTTATAGTAAGGTTAGGGTGTGGTAAGGAAGGACGAACGTCTCTTTGTTCTCGTCATTTTAAATACAATGATATAAAAAAAGGTTTTAATGTTGTCCATATGATTCTGAATTAATTATAAGAACTCGTTTTGGAATCCGGAACAAATTGGTACCTACCACTTGGGTCACTGTCCAAGTAATACATAATTTACATTTATGTATACAAAACTTCATTTACAAAATAATTGGAAAAGTAAAAAGCAATATACTGAATTAAGTCCAGTAAAATTAAATTTATAAAAAAGAGATTATACTTAAGTTGCCTTACTTTTATTAAATATTCGTGAATCTATGACAGTTATTGAGTTATTTATTGCAGATAGGTACACTTATCTTAATATATTCAAAGGTATTAGCATATTTTAATGTATTGCAAATTAAAATAATAATAAATAATTGATTAAGAGAGACAGCTACTTAACTATTATGTACATATTGGATTTACACGAATTACATATTTTGGGTGGGTCCAAAAAGGATCAAGGTTATAAAAATAATTTGTAATTTTATCTTATTATTCTTATTCATTCCAAAAAAATATATATAGTAATAATTATAACTTTTAAGTTTACTATAATAAAGTGAACAAATCCTCAGTAATTGGGTAAAAATTAAAAAAATGCATCAAATTTTATTTGACAGTCAGTTTAATAAATTTCTTATAGTTTTAAATTTAGAAACTAATTGAAAATTGTATCTACCACTTATTAAAGAATAATTTTGATATAATGTCCCTAAGGGATTATTAATTTTCTACTCCTAATAGTTTATTATGAAAATTTTCGAACGCATACATTGTGGTTGCCTAATACGCCAGTATTTAGTTTTTAGAAGAAGTAGAAGAAAGAAGGACAGTTTTCTTTTTGTCAATTGTCAAATGTCAACGTTCTTCTTACTGAAAATATGGCAGATGCCGAGGTAAATTTTTATCACGTGTAAACATTAATTAATATTTATGAATTAAAGGGACAATAATGTATGAGTCTAAAACTTTTCTTTTGATTCTAGCTAGCTAAAGCCCTAAAAGATCTACATTACAGAATTCAAACTGCCAGTTTAAAAGAAAGGAAAGAGGTTATAGAAAATGTCATACTTGTTTTATCAAATCCCGGTAAGATGGTTTATAAAAAATATTACCTACTTACTTAAAGATGCGGTTTTAGGTATTAACGAATCGATTGTGAAAGGTATTTGTAAGGTTCTTCTTTTAACTTTACCACGTTACAGAGATAGCTCATCACGGTTGTTAGTCCGAAATTGTCTTGTTGCTCTTTTGGAAAAACATACAGAATCATCCATAAAATGTCTGACGTCTGTTTTAACGGATTTTGCTGCCCAATACAAAAGTCTTGTTGCTACGTAAGAATTATTGTTATTGATAACGAAAACAAAATTTTGAGTTAATTTTTTTTAGAACAAGTACCAGTCGAACTGCATTATTTGCACTACACTGGTCAACCATATTGTTTTCAACTGGATGGAAACACAATTCCACCGTCTTAAAAAGTCAAATACCCCACATTATTGAAGTTCAATCCTATTTATTAACAGCTGTTTTCGCAGCAGGAAACAGGAAAGTGTCTTCCAAAGCCTTTAATTTGGTTAGTACTAGTTTGTGTTCTATGAAGAATTTTTAATTAAATACATATGATTTTAGTTAAATTCTGCGTGGGCTAGCGTATCAGATAGTGAAAAGTTGTATCTAGAAACAATCAAGAACATTGAACAGACACAAAATATAGTGGTTTTGGCGTCTGCTTTAGCAAAACGGTTATCTGCCAACAATAATGAGCTTTTAAAGTCTTACATAGTAAGTAGTACATATGGCCCTTATTTCTATTAAATATTTATATTTGTCGTACGTTTAGGATCAGTTACTGGATACATTCATAAAAAACTTCATCAGCATAAAAGTTCGACCCTTGCCCAATGTTGTAACGGCTTGTTACCCCCTTTTGTTACAAGTTAATAATGAACAATTTAAAAAATCAGTGTTGCCTGCCTTACAAAAAGCAATGCTGAGAAATCCAGAAATTATTCTGGAATGTGTTGGATTGGTGATATCTGGTGTTGACCTGGATCTCAGCAATTATGCCATGGAAATTGGAAATAGTTTAATAGGTAGGTAAATAAAACGATAATGCAATTTACTCTTGCAATACTAAAATTTGTAAATCTTATAAAATAAAAAGATGTATGTTCGGTGGTAGTGCGATTGTACCGATTTTTTATAGTTTAAATTAATTGTGACTTACAATTTCATAAAAAATTCTTTGTTTTGGTTTCGACATTCTAATAAGCAGTTATTCTAAAATCACTTAATATAAGAATTTTTTTATTGATTTGAGAGTTTTGTGAAGGAAAAATATAATTGGAAACTTATTTTCTACCTGTTCTTGACTATTGCTTGGCTTCGAACATAAACGTTCCCCTCTTTACCACCCTTAGGTATATTAAATAATTTTAATTGAAAACAGTGATGAAGATTGAAAATAGAATCACAAAACTGATAACAAAATTTAAAAAATTGCTTTTTGGAGAATGTCTTTGAAATACAGGAATAAACATCATTTTTCTTTATTTTTTGTAACTGTTGGCATTAATTTGGTTTTTCAAAGGTATTTTATAAGATTCGCTTTAAATTTTGTATGGTTTTTGTTACATTAGTAGATTAGTTGTGTGCCGTTACAGGTGTTTGCACAACTTAATGAGTAACACACAAAAATATGAATTAGAATCATGAGGAGGTGGTCGAAAACTGGGAAACGGAATAAAATAATATTTATTCATACTTTCTTATTTCTACTCAGTTTTACAAAACTAATATTTATTAATTTTGAATAATTATTTCAGCAAATTTGCATTCAAAAGATGATAACGCTCGAAACGAGGCTGTAGATGCCTGTAAAAGGTTGGCTGGTAAAATTAGAAATTTAAAAGCTTTAGAAGACATCCTGAAGAAAACTTTTGCTGTGTTTCATGGATCCGACGGAAAACTGACTGTAGTGGATCACAAAATCAGTGTTTTGCAGGTATTTTTTAGATTTTGGACTGATCATAATTTTATTACCAAACGTAAATTGTGAATGGTTATTTTAGGGAGCTGGTAACTTTAGTTACAATTCCGTGACTGGAGAAAATCTAGAAAAATTAACAATAACAGCGACTGAGCTCTTCATTAAAGTTCTGGAAGTTGAGGTGCACGAGAAAACGCTTTGTTACACTTTGGACATGCTCTCGTTCTGGACAAATAAACTCATTATGGAGGTTCCCAAGAAAATCGTAGACTTTTTTAAGGTATGCCAAGATATTGAGACAAAATATTTTATCAGCATTTGTTGAAAATTATCGTTTTACTTTTTAGAATGGTATAAACCTAAAGACATCAACACCTTTGGTTAAGATTTCATACATTCGTTGTATGTTGTCGACGTTTAACAGAAAGACCATATCACAGGCATCAGTATTAGTTCCGATTTTGTTAAAATCCGTGGAAAAGGCTGTATCTCAGCCTACCGTCGCACTCTCGGTAACGGAAGGTCTTTGTGCGGCTTTGGTACTTTTAAAATTTTCCAGTTCGCCCCAGGATAAAGACAGCAACGTCCAAACAATGTGGAACGCTGTACTTGATATGGACAAGCAGATCTTTATTTCTGAGAAGTATTTATCAACTTGTAATGAAGATAGTAAGTTATCTGTTATCCAGATATTCATATCATCACCAAAATTATTATTTTTAGGTTTAAGTTATGTTATGCAACTTTGCGAAATGCTTCTGGTCGAGCACCCAGAAAAAATTAAAAACCCGGCTCCGTTACACAAAGCAATTTTACATTGTTCCACTTTCTCCAACACCCCAATCCGACGAAAATGCCTTATGGTACTGAACAGGATTGTCGGGAGTCTTAGCGGTGCTGCCATTGCAAGGGCACTATTTAAAGAGTTGCAGTACTTCTTAGAGTCGAACAAAATCATTTCTAAATCCGAAGACCAGAAGGAAAACGATAACAATAGCTGCGTGTCACCACACGCTCTTATCGAATGCATAACTTCGTTGTGTTCGTCTTCCGGTCTCGCGACAGAAGATGCACATCTGTTAGCTATTGAAGCTTTACTCCCCACTCACCATCCATCTGTGTCAGCATTAGTTCCGAACATGTGGGTGAAGATCGTGAAACATTTGAGCTGTAAACCAAGGGATTTGGTGGCTCAAAGAGCGAATCACTTTCGGTCGAGTCTCATTGAAGAATATAAGAGCACGCCAGTGGGTATTCCTTGAGTTAGCTCCTAAATTATTTGTTATTTAATATATTTCTAGACTAAAGAAAACGCTTTATCGACGCTGGTTTCCCTCAACGCTGATGTGCTTATGCCTAGTATTATACAAAAAGTTACAAACGATTTAGACGACCCGCAGATTTGCCAAGTGTCCAAGGACGATTATTTCACATTTTTAACACCCAAAGGGGAATTGTACGATAAAAGTGTTGTGCCTGGGTAAGTAATTATTGGAGATAAATGACATTTCTGCTTAAAATATCGTTTTTTTTTTCCAGGGATGAGAGCAATGCTGCAATGAATTTAAAAAGGGAAAGTAAAGTGTATAGTTATAAGGACCAGTTGGAAGAATTGCAGTTGCGAAGGGAGTTGGAAGAGAAAAAACGAAAAGAAGGTAAAATCAAGCCGCCCCAGTTTACGCCCAAGCAGATGGAGGCGATAAAAAATCAGAAGATAAAAGAACAAAATATAAGGAACAGGCTTACACAAGTAAGATTTCTATTTTATTTACTCGTTATTATTGTACGAAGGTGTAAATTTTTTTTGGCTTAGCAAATTTGCTGTTGAAACTGAAAATTTAAATTTGAACTACAAATTTTAAGTTCAAACTAGAAGAAATTTTGGGTTGAAATATGAAGTTTGGAGTTTGTCTGCAAAATTTCAAGTTTAAAGCAAAATTTTTAGTTTAAACCGAATGTGTCTTGTTTTAACTCAAAAATTTTTTTCAACTTGAAATTTCAAGTTTGGACTTGAAATTTTAAAGGATCCTGCAACTATCCTTATGGAAAACTGGTCTGGTCGAATGGTACGAAACTTTGCCGAATGATAGTCCTCAATGTGCCGATCAAAAAAGTCCATGGGATTTAGGTCTGCAAAACTACTGTTCTGAGGCTACAGCCTTCTGAAGTTATCGAATCCACGTGCTCGATGACCATCAAGCCCAATGATTTATGGGCAAATAAAAACAAATATTTCTTTATAAAGTGACCAAGCTGGCCAAGGAATGCTGCAGATATGCTGATGACGGATAAGTGTTCAGCATGCGTAAAAATATAAGATGTCGCTCAAGCAGCACTGCTTTTCTAAAGACTGAAGGATGATTTTGGCCACGGATTCATCACATGAAAATACATCAAGAAACAACCAGCTTGGTCACTTTATAAAGATATTTACTTTTACTTGCCCGTAAATCATTGGACTTGATGGTCATCGAGCACGTGGATTTGATAACTTCAGAAGGCTGTAGCTTCAGAACAATAGTTTTTAATAGGCTATTGAATATATCCAAAAAAAACAGGGTTAAAAGGAACTATGACGTCCAAGCAATTATACAGGGTGGTCCGAATTTTATGCAGGAAACTTCCAGGGCTGATAGATCTCTTTAAAATAATAGGTGTTTGCCTTATAAACATAGGTCTGGAACGGCCTCGTTTTAGAGATACAGGGTGTTGAAGTTGTTAAAACAAATTAATTTTTTGTTTATATCTCCGGAATCTATTAACCGATCTGAACAAAATTTGGTACAGATAATGGATGACAGTAGGCCTTGCATTCTCTAAAATATGAGCTCTAAAGGATCTACCAGTGGTGTACAACTGGACAGGGTCACCCTTTTTTTTATAAAAAAAACCTACGCCACTGTATTTTTTACAATCTATTGTAACGGATTTATATTCTAATGTACAAAATACGTAAAAAAGGTAACGTGAATTTTTTCCCTAAAGTTCACCGTTCTCAAGTTATTCATACGAATACAATCTCCTTGTGGCGGATACTTCTAACCATAATATTACAAGAATATTTATGTTTATGCTTAAAAGTAAGTGCAATTTGTAAGCACATCAACAAAATTCTTTACACTCGTCGCTTTC